AAAAAAAAAAGAACTTTAAAGCATTTTTATTATTTATTTATTTATTTTTGTTGGCCATGGGGCTTGAACTCGGGGCTTGGGCACTTGTCCCTGCACTCTTCAGCTCAAGGCAAGCACTCTACCCATTGAGCCACAGTGCCACTTCCAGTTTTCTAGTGGTTTATTGGAGATAAGAGTCTCATGGACTTTCCTGCCCGGGCTGACTTTGAACTGTGATTCTCAGATCTCAGCCTCCTGAGTAGATAGGATTACAGGCGTGAGCCATCAGCGCCCTGGCTTTAAAGCATTTTTAAACCACAACTGTAATAAAATTTCATTTTACCCCAGTTAGAATATTTTTTCTGAAAACAATAAGAAGATAACAGGTGCTGTCAAAATATGATGAAAGGCAGGTGCCAAGTGGCTCATATCCGTAATTCTAGTTACTCAGGATTCTGAGATCTGAGGATCACAGAAGCCAACCTAGGCAGGAAAGTCTACAAGATTCTTATCTCCAATTAACCACCAGAAAATCAAGAGTGGTGCTGTAGCTCAAAGTGGTAGAGCACTGGCTGTGAGCTGGGGGAAAAAAGCTCAGGGATGGCATCCAGGCCCTGAGTTCAAGCCCCAGGACCAGTACCAAAAAAAAAAAAAAAAGTAAAGGAAAAGTTACCCTTATGATCTGTTGGTAGAGATGTAAACCAATGCAGCCACAAAAAAAAAATCAGTGTGCAGTTCCACCAAAAAGCAAAAACAGCACTTCCCAGGGCTAGAGGAGTGGCCCATGTATTAGAACATCTGTATAGCAAGCACAAGGTTCAAAGTTAACGAGAGAAAGAGAGAGAATGCTCCCATATAATCCTGCAGTCCCTCTCCTGAGTGCATGAAGGAAATGAAGTCAGCATATGATGCTTACTGCAAACAGCCAAGCTATGAAATCACATAATATATGCTTATCAATCAATGAATGGAGAAACACATTATGCACGTATATAGATAATGGAGTATTATTTAGTCATAATGAAGACAGAAGCCCTGTCATTACAGGCTAATGGATGGAACTAGAGAACGTATGTGAAGTAGAATAAGGCAGACACAGAAACCTAAGTGTCACATGTTTTATCTCATATGTGGAAACTAAAAATAAAAAACCTGAAAAGTTGAAGAGCAAACACGAGCTTATGGGAAAAGAGAATCCAGGGGGAGGAAAAAAGGGTGTAGAAAGGGTAGAAGAAAGTGGGGTAGGAATGATTAACGTATGATTAATGCATATACAGAAATATCACGGTAAATCTGATTTATATAATTAAGAGTGGTCAGTATCTATAACTGAAAATTTAATTAAAAACAAACTAGAAAGATGTTTTGAGCCTCAAGCTATAAGTCTTAAGTTTGAAAACTCTCAAATAAAGGAAAAGAAACATTTCTTTTTGGCCTCTCCTACATAAACTATTTGTTAAAGGAACCAAACAGTGTGAAGTGGTTTTAGGCTCCTTGTGAAAGCAGTCCAGTTAAATGAAGAAGGGAGCAGGTAGGACCTCAGTTGAATTAGCAGTTCTAATCAATGAGGGTGTTGGTGACACAGCACTAGCTAGCAGTGCATGAGAACCGTCCACAGCACCGGACAGCAGGGAGTCCAGCTTTCTGCAACCCCGCTCTACAACATCAATAGCAAAGCAGAAAAATAGAAAAGCTGGTGTGGGAAGCTATGAATTAAACATCATTAAAAGAATAGTCGTTCTCTCCAGCTACCCAAGATGCCAAAAGGAAAGACGGGCCAAGGGGGAGATGGTGGCCCCGGCCCCTGCTGTCGTGAAAAAGCAGGAGGCCAAGAAGGTAGTAAATCTGCTGTTTGAAAAACAGCCTAAAAACTTTGGCATTAGCCGGGCGCCGGTGGCTCATGCCTGTAATCCTAGCTACTCAGGAGGCTGAGATCTGAGGATCACGGTTCAAAGCCAGCCCGGGCAAGAAAAGTCCGTGAAACTCTTTATCTCCAATAAACCATCAGAAAACCGGAAGTGGCACTGTGGCTCAAGTGGTAGAGCACTAGCCTTGAGCTGAAGAGCTGAGGGACAGCGCTCAGGCCCAGAGTTCAAGCCCCACGACCAAAAAAAAAAAAAAAACTTTGGCATTGGACAGGACATCCAGTCCAAAAGAGATCTCACCTGTTTTGTCAAACGGCCCTGCTGTATCTGCCTGCAGTGGCAAAGGACAAGCCTCTACCAGGGCTGAAAGTTCCTCCTGCAATGAACCAGTTTACCCAGGCCTTGGACAGCCAGACAGTGACACAGCTACTCAAGCTGGCCCACAAGTACAGGCCAGAGAAGAAGCCGAGACTGTTGGCTTGAACTGAGAAGAAAGCTGCTGGCAAAGGAGACGTCCCCACTAAGAGACCTCCAATCCTTTGAGCAGGGGTTAACATGGTTACTACTTTTGTGGAGAACAAGAAGGCTCAGCTCATGGTGATCGTACATGACGTGGACCCCATCGGCTGGTTGTATTCCTGCCTGCCCTGTGCCAGAGATGAATGCTCCCTACTGCCTCAAGGGGGAAGCCAAGCCAGGGCGCCACCTCCACAGGAAAACATGCACCACCGTTGCCTTCACCCAGGTTAACTCAGAAGACAAAGGATCTCTGGCGAAGCTGGGGGAGGTTATCAGGACCAATGACAGATATGATGAGATCCATCGGCACTGGGGAGGCAGTGTCCTGAGTCCAAAATCTGCGATTCTGATTGCCAGGCTGGAAAAGGTAAAGGCTAAGGAGCTGGCCACTGAGCTGGGTAAGTGTGCAATGCTGATTTCTCTGTACATGAAAATAAAACTGTCCTTCCTCAAAAAAAAAAGAAAAAAACATTAAAAATAAAATAAATGGCATTTCGTCAAATTAGAAAGCTTCCGCACCACAAAGGAAACAATTACCAAAATCAAGAGACAACCTACAAGAGTGCAGGCATAATTCAAGTGGTACAATTGCCTAGCAAGCATTAATCCCTAAGTTTAAACTCCAATACCATTAAAAAAGAGAAACTAACAGATAACCTACAGAATGGAAGAAAATCTCTGCCAGCTATTTGTCAGTTAAAGGATTCATATCCAGGATAATATATAAAGGAGCTCCAAAAATTAAAACATCAAAAGAAGAAATAATCAAGTTAGCTGGCAATCACCAAGAGAACAAAAAGCAAGTGCTGGGGGCGCTGGGAAGGTAGCTCAGCGGTAGAGTGCATGCCTTGCAAGCATGAGGTCCTGGGTTCGATTCCTCAGCACCACATAAACAGAAAAAGCCGGAAGTGGCGCTGTGGCCCCAGTGGTAGAGCACTAGCCTTGAGCTGAAGAGCTGAGGGACAGCGCCCAGACCCAGAGTTCAGGCCCCATGACCGGCAAAAAAAAAAAAAAAAGCAAGTGCTGATGAGGAAGGAGGAGGGGGAGCCTTTCTACAGTTAGTGGAAGTGCACATTGATAAAGCCAATACAGAAACCATGTGGTGATTCCTTAAAAAGCAAAAGACTCCTCTATGCCCCTCCTGACCTATTTCAGACAGAATGTAAGTCACATTCAATCAAGACACCTGCACATGCATGTTGATAGCACTGGTCACAATGGCCAAACTGTGGAATCAAGTCAACCTAGGATCCCACCAGCCAGTGCACAGATTAATAAAATAAAGAAGAGTGGACTTGTGGCATTTGCAGGAAAAATGGAGAGAACTAGGAATGACCTTGTTAAATGAAATCTGTCAGACCAAGAAAGACAAATATCACATGTATGTGCTCTCTTCTCTCTCTCTCTCTCTCTCTCTCTCTCTCTCTCTCTCTCTCTCTCCTATGTCAAATCTAGACCTTTTTAAAAAAAATAAGTGCAAAATGTCAGAGTGACAATTTGGGGTGGGAAGCAGCATGGAGGGGAGCAAAACATATCTTAAGAACTTTCTAACTGTAGAATAGCATTATGAAATCCATCAAAAGTTGATTTAAAAAGAGAACAGGAGTCGAACACTAGTGGCTCACACCTATAATCCTAGCTACTCAGGAAGCTGAGATCTGAGGATCACAGTTCAAAGCCAGCCCAGGCAAGGAAAGTCCATGAGACTTTCCTTCCAATTAACCACCAGAAAACTGGAAGTGGTGCTGTGGCTCAAGTGGTAGAGTGCTAGCCTTGAGCTGAAGAGCTGAGGGACAGCACCCAGACCCAGAACTAACCCAAGAGAGAGACGGGGGGGGAGAAGGAGAGAGAGGGAGGAAAGCAAGAATTTTAGGGTGATGACTTCAACCATCACAACGCACGAAGTGCACAGGTAAACACCTAGAGAGGTGGCCATAGGAACATGGAAGAACCGCCAGCTCAGCTCTGAAGAAGTGAACAAAAGAATCAAGCAGAGCCTTGGGGCAGCAGCGCAGGGGTCCCTAACTCGCCTGCCTTCATGACCACGTGACCATGGCCGTCAGGATGGCCCCTGGGTCTGACAGACTCAACACATACCACCATACTCACCACTCTGGGGAGGAGAGCAGCAGCCAGCAGAGGCTAAGAAAAGCAGGCACTGCTCACTCTGGCCCTTGACTTTCTTCCCTCCTACATGCCCCAGGAAAATACCAGTCAAGGACACTAAAAGGAAATAAATAATAGCAAGGAGAATCAGGGTGTGTGATCCACAAACCATGGAAATGTTTCCTAAGAAAGTGGATGGATGCATCCGTATGAATGCCATGAAGCAGAGGCCCCAGCAGGGGGCCCCAGAGGGGCTTTGGCCTGTAGAAGGCAGGCTACTGTCTAAAGGAAGAGGGCTGAGAACAGGCCCTCCTGTCACCTGCCCCACCATTCCTCCAAGGATCACCAGGAAAAACCCAGGGTGCCTCAACACTTTGCTTGAGAGAAAGAGGGCTCTGGGTAAAAAGGCTGGCATCCCAGAGCAGATGCCCACAGAGCACATTCTGGGAACGAGAGTAACTGGGCTCAAAGGGAAGCCGGACAGACAGTCCCTGAGGGACCCAGAGCCAGGTGCCTTCCTCTTCAGAGAGAAGCACCCAGATCTCTGAAGACCAGCAGCATGGAATAAGAAAGCACAAAAGGATAGATGGTCTGGTGTTGAATTTGGCATCCCAGGAGAGAAGACTGTACCCATAACACCATATTTTGACATTATGAGGATGGATAATTCAGAAGCCAAAATGCATTAAAGCATTAAAATTGAAGGGCTCAAAGGCAGAAGGCATGGATGGGCTGGGAAGGTGGCTCACTGGTAGAGTGCTTGCCTTGCATGCATGAGGCCCTGGGTTTCATTCCTTAGTACCGCATAAGCAGAAAAAGCCAGAAGTGTGCTGTGGCTCAAGTGGTAGAGTGCTAGCCTTGAGCTGAAGAGCTGAGGGACAGTGCCCAGGCTCAGAGTTCAGGCCCCACGACTGCAGAAAAACAAAACAAAAGGCAGAAGGCAGAGAAGCCCTGGAGGATTTGGAAGGCCACATTAGTAAGTAAATCTCTCTAACAAAGAACTGGAGGATAGAGATGGAAACACCAGAAGAAAATAAGATATCCCAAGAATAAGTTACACAGCTACTGTAAAATAACCTGGTGTCATTTTTCCAAATTTATGGCCTATCACTGGCCCTCGGCTGCCTGCATTAGGGACGGACTCCAGTCTCCCACCAGTCACCTCACCTGGGTCAGTGAGGTTGTCCGATAGTTATCCCCAAGATCATCCCTTGTAAAGGAGCAGAAACTTCCAGGATATCTTATAAAACTAGACTCTTCCTCTTTCTCTGCATTAAAAAAAATACTTGCAAACATCAATACTTCAGAAGTGACTCAGAAAAAAATACGTGTTCACACAGCTCTATAGTACTGTCAGGGCTTGCCAGAGATGGCCAGAGTCTGATGTGTTGGGGCAGTTGGGAGGTCGCCCCCCGGTTCTCTGGAGTCTCCCCTGACACCTGCAGTGCAGTGGCGGAGATCTGCCATCGGTTAAGCCTTAGCGGCTTCTCCATGTGGAACAAGCTTCCCCTCACCTTGCTGGCTGGTTCCAAGGGCAAGAATGGAGAAAGAAAAATGGGTAGGAGGAGGGAGCAAGAGATGCAGGGAGGAAAGGAGGGAGAGAGGGAGGGAGAGAAGGAAAGGGGAGATGGAGGTGAGAGGACAGGCGGAAGCCATGTGTCCCTTTACCACCTAGCCCTGTCACACAGCATCGATCGCCTCAGCTCCTTCCATGTGCCCACGCAACCCGAGGCAGGAGGTCTGGAAATAAGGCCGTGGCAATCTTAAGAAAACACTTCCATCTGTTGTTATTGTTTGGGCTTAGGAAGAGGCTTTGGCCTCAATGATGAGAACATCTATTTCTTAACCTTGATCCTGCCTTCCTTTGGTGCTAGTACTGGGGCTTGAACTGAGGACCTGGGCACGGGGCTTGAACTGAGGATCTGGGCACAGGCCTCTTCACTCAAGGCCAGGGCTCTACCACTTAAGCCACAGCTCTACTTCTGACTTTTTGCTGGTTGAAGCCAAGAATCTCACAGACTTTCCTGCCCAGGCTGGCTTTGAACCATGATCCTCAGATCTTTGCTAAGATTACAGGCATGAGCCACCAGCATCCGGCAATCTTGTTTTCAAGGTCATGACCACCTGCATATCTCAACCACATAAGTATCCTAGATGGTGACCTAAAATCTCTGCCTTAGACTTAGGGAGCCAGCTAGGTCACAGGTACCCAACTCAAACCTCCGCTGCAAGCCAGGACTGACCTGTCCATCCCCAGCCATCACTGCCATACACCAGCCATTGCCCTCCACCATTGGCCTCCTGATGCATTCTGCAGCTGAGCTGTAGGCCACCCTCTGGGGACCCAGACCAGCCCAGCAGATGGGACTGAACAGGCCACATCATCATTCTAAAACCCCTTGTTCAGTATACCTCCAACTCAGCACCATAACCCAGAAAGCACTTGTTCGTCTTCCATCTGGCAGTTTCTGGACAAGGTTTTACCACGATAAGGGAAGAGCACCACAGCATTTCTGCTTCTTAAACTCTAGAAAACACTGAGATGCTTATTCTTCACCCACTCCTGTGCCTGTTCTGGTCAAATGACTGTGATTGAATGAGCTCAAAACCTATGCTGCTGCCCAGACCTACAACAGTCTCTTCTGAGTCTATATCCTCAAAGCTATTACTTCCTGATGTGCCTCGTCTCTAGGTCAGCAGGGGAATGAAGCTGGAGAAACGGCCTCAGGTCTTGAGTCCACTGCACTCATCAGGCTTGCCCACAGATGTAGGGGTAAAAAAGGAACATGGATAGCTAATCACCCCAGCAAGTTAGTTTCCAAACTTGTTTTGCCATGACCTAAGGAAGTCAGTGTTGAGATTTAAAAGGGAGCAGCCATGTCCTGTGCTCAGCCAGTGTGTAAACACAGCAGAAGTGCTGTGCTGCAGAAGTTCTGTCCACACATACACACCAGCTCATGAAACAGGTAGCTCCTGGGCATCACAACCTGCCAGTGTGACTGAGGACTGAACTTTCTTTTTATTTTTTTGTCAGGCATGGGTCCTGAACTCTGGGCCTGGGCGCTGCCCCCTGAGCTCTCCAGCTCAAGAAGAGTGCTCACAGCACCACTTCCTGCTTTTTCTCTTGAATCAAACCCAGGGCCTCATGCATCTGAGGCAAGCACTCTACCACTGAGCCACCTTCCCAGCCCCTGAGAACTGTATTTTAATGTTTTCTCTTTAATGAATTTCAATGGTGAAATGCAGCTAGTGACAGAGCAGCAGCCCAGGGCACCAAACGCACAGTGAAGGCACGCAGCTGCCGGGCACAGCAGGATGGTCTCCTCACAGGTGTCACTATCATCACAAACTGGCACGTCCCGTTGCCAGCAGTGTGCGTGACTCAGCCATTCCTGTTTTCTGTTAGAACTTACAGATTTCATTTAACACACGCTGAGTTTGCTTGCTTTATATTTTTAATCAAGATTAATAAAACTAAAGTATTCATAGAAAATTGATGTTTCAATTCTTTTTAGGAGAAAGAGCGTGAGCTTGAAATTAAAAATATCTATACTAATCGGATACTTAAAAACTTACATGAAAAAGAAGATTACCCAAAAGGTATGTTAGTTACTTCTGCTCAAAATCTATGGTTAAGTATCTGGTCATATCTTTTTTTGCCAGTCCCAGGGCTTGAACTCAGGACCTGCCTGGGCACCGTCCCTGAGCCTCTCTGTGCTCAAGGTGAGAGCTCTACCACTTGAGCCACGGTGCCACTTTTCTGAGTACTTATTAGAGGTAAGAGTCTCAAGGATCTCAGCTTCCTGAGTAGCTGACAGGCGTGGGTCACCAGCACCCAGCTTCTTCCTACTTTTTCATAGCTAAAATAACAGATGAGTTTTAAAAAGCATTTCATGGGCACTGAGACACATTTTGTGGTACAATCTTGTCAAGAGCCAGGAACAGACCTGCTTTCTCAGTTCCTCACTTTGGGCCCAGTCTCTTACTTCAGGTAGCATGAGGCTGCTTGAAGGAAAGTGTCTGCTCCACACTGAACTTTCCAGTTCTTGAGAACGAACTTCTTTGGAGTTTTACTTTACTTCCATGAGATGCAGTTGGTCGGGCTTTGGCGCCCGCTCACCGCCGTAGCCTGCACTGTCTGGGGGGGAGGTGACTCTCCAGGAAAGGAGGGGGGGGCTCCCCATGGCCTTCACATTCCACACCCCACGCTCCCCTCCGGCCCGAACCACCATAAGCTCTCACTGTTCTAGAACTTCACTCTGTCGCTCACAGCACACAGCACTCCTCTGTAGCAGCCTGCTTTGGTTCAGCAGTGTGGCAAGGGCACGGGTACCGTTTAAATGCCACATGGTGCTGCTGCCCCTTCTCTTCCGGCACGGCCGGCAAGCATCAGTTTCTGCTCAAAGTGACAACGGGAACCACCTGCTCCACCGGCAGCCACCGCAGGCTCCCCTCACAGGCAGCCGCTCCCAACGTGCCTTCCTCGCTTGCTCTGGCTTAAAATACAGAATAACTGCCCAGAGAGATGGGTGTGTCAACCATGGGGCCTTTAAACGAGAGTATTTCAAGGACGGTGAGGAAAGGTGAATGGCGGTCGCTCGCCTCTTTGTGTGGAGGGCAGCTTGCCATCAGTAGCAGCTGTCCTTAACACTGGATAGTGTGACCCATCACCTCCGTGTGACACCATCATCTCTGTATGGCCTCCGTCACCTGTGTGGCACATATCACCTGTGTGGCCCACATATCACTTCTGTGTGACCCCATATCACCTCCGTATGACCCCATCAACTTTCTGACCATCACCTGACCATCACCAGTGTAACCCATTACTTCTGTGACCTGTCACCTCAATGTGACCCTTATCATCTTAGTGTAACCCCATCACCTCTGTGTGACCCCATCACCTCTATGTGACCCTTCACCTCTTTAGTCCAAAATGAGACCAAAATGGAGATGATAGGAAAAAAAAGAAGGGGAATCTATCAGACATTTCACAAATATTAAATGTCTACACATACTTCAAATGTTATTTTACACTTAAAAATGGCTTCCATTTGTAAAAATCTTTCTCATACATAATCTTCCAATTCTATAGCTTCTTCTACAAAATCAGTCCAAGCAGACAGAAAAAGCTTGTCATTTACAATTATGAGACACAAAGAAACCCAAAAATCAGATGACTTTCCACCTTTGAAAACTAAGGTAAGACAGACCTGAAACCTCAGTGTCTAATTACACATCTTACTTAACACAAATAGAGTATGCTGTAATCATTTGTTCTATGTAAAAAGTATTTGTATTTATTAGAATACAATTGTCTAGATCACCAAAAACATATCTTTCACTGCTTTTCTAAGTTACAGAGTAAAAAGACAAGAAACACTGATCATAAAGAAAAATCAGCTGAAATAAACTGTGAAATTCCTCCAGTTATCAGTAAACTACCAAGACTAGAGGAATCTAAAAGGAAATATGAAGGTAACTGGAGTTTGTTTTGTTGTTTCTTTTGTGTAGTACTAGGGTTTGAACATGTCTTCTCATTTACTGGGCAGGCACTCTACCACCTGAGCCACAGCCCTCCACTTCCACTGCTTTATACTTCACATAGCCTCCCCCACCCCCACCCGGGGCCAACTTTCAACTATGATCCTCCCTTCCAAATAGCTGGAATTATGAAAATACAGAACTGTGCTTGGCTTGTTAGCTGACACTAGGTCTAATTTTTTTCCCAGGCTGACTTCAAACTCAAGTCTTCCTGATTCCTACTTCCTTCGTAGCTTGGATTATTGGTGTATGCCACCGTACCCCTGCTAATTTTAACAGCTTTTTAAAGTAAAACATGACTTGTAACAATTTTCTCAAGCTGGGTGTAGTAGTACACACCTGTAAAAGAAATATATAAGAGGAAAAGATTCTCCTTTATTCTTATTGAACCAGTCCCTCCAGCATTGAGCAGACACAGCCTCTTGTGTCCATACTTCATTACTGCCAGTAGAAGCCGGTGAACTCCACCCAGGCCAGACAAGGGCAGCTTCTGAGTGAAAAGCCACAACAATTCCAGAGTTGCTCAGGGCCAGGGGATCGGCCTGCCGAACACGCTGGGCACTAGACCAGGTGCCAGCCAGGCTGGCTGGAAAGCCAAGTGGAGCAAAATACGAGCAAGCTGGTAAAAACCACTGAAAAAAGCCACTCTGTCCTGTGCAATCTGGGGGACTGATGTCCAGCCATACCCACGGGGCTCTGCTTAAATCTTCCGCGTGTTTTTTCATTCCATTTAGGTGAGACTTATCCCAGAAAGGTATGTGTGCACTTGGCACGTTGTGTGGGAGGATGCACCAGATGGAGGCGTGGCTCTGGGAGCTGGGAGACACCCTGTCCGGGTGTCAGGTGTGCTTCTGACCCAGGGGGGTTTCCACAGACCCATGTCTGCATATGCCATGTAACCCAGCCAGCGCCCCCCATGTGCGAGGCTCCGCTCTACTGCTGAGCTGTACCCCAAACCAGAAATCCATCTTTTTTTATAGTTATTTGAGGTTAAGTGATTACATAAATTTCACAAAGTTCACAGAATTGTGAAATAGTGATACTTACAGTCACAAACACATTCATGAGGCAAATTGTCATTATCGTGGTCTATAAAGTTTGTGAATTCTGAGCTTTGATAATACAACTATTTCTTCCACATCAGGTGATACGCACATTTCTTCACTTTTGCTTAGTGTTAGCTGTTCACGTTCCCTCCCATCGCTGCCCTTGAGTTGCTGAGCACGTTTTCATCAATGTCCAGTGCAGCTGATGGGCCCCTCTGTTATGTTTTCCTGTTTCCCTCTGATTCTGTATGCTCCTCCTAGCTTCCCTCAGATGTACGCATATATATATATATATACATATATATGTGTGTATATATATATATATATATATATATATATACACACACCATGTATGTGGTCAACAACATGGAGTCATTTAATAATGATAAGACAAGATGAATATATACATATATATGTGTGTATATATATATATATATATATATATATATATACACACACCATGTATGTGGTCAACAACATGGAGTCATTTAATAATGATAAGACAAGATGAATAGAGGTCCTTTGTTTCTCAAGTGCTGTTTACTTTGTTGTATCTCCTAGCATTTTGGATTTAACATCCATATATCAGGGAGACTATGTGCCATTTGTCTCTTGGCTTACCTCACTCAAAATGATTTTTTTCTAGTTCCATCCAAGAAATCCATTGATTTTCAGGGCACTAAGTTGTCTATCTTTCTGCTGTAGATTTATCAAAGGCAGAAGAAATGCAAGGACTACTGGAGAACACTAGGAGACATAAAGAGAAAAGGGAAGAGCAAGAAAAGAAAACCATCTTAGAGGAACAAGAACCATCCCCAAGAATTCCAGCACCTCATCCTGAAAGTAGAGGCCATCAGGAAGATGAAGCAGCCAAGGAAAAGCTGTGTTCACAAATGAGTGACAGGGCCGAGGCCCCGGACACATTCGTGGTTCCCAGCACCAAGATGGTCTTCCGCCACAGGAAGCACTACTCCTTCACAGAGGCCACGGAGAACCTGCACCAGGGCCTCCCCACCTGCCCAGGGCCGGCCCACCCTGGTAGCACACGGTGCCTGGCAGGCGGCCGACACCGCTGCCATGTAGAGGAGATGAGACCGGAGCAGGAGGCCAGCAGCTACGAGCCCGCCCCTGCTGCGCCTTCCCGAACCAAGGTAGAAGACACTGCATTCCAAATCAGGAAAAACTGTCTGATGGAAGAACTCTTTGGGTCTGGCTCTGTCTTAAAGCAAGACCAGAGCAGTCCTGTGGCTACAGAGGGCTTGGAGGAGCCCCTGAAAAACAAGGCCTCGCATCACCTATCTCCTGGTCAGGCCTCTGCCAACAACGCCTTTGGAGACTCAAACGTTACTGTGGTAAACTCCATGAAGGCCTCCTCACCTACAGAAGAGAAAAGAAAAATTATTATTTAAATATAACCAATGCCCAGGACATTCTGGTGTGGTGTACGAGCTCCTAGATGCTGGCAATCTCACCATTTCAACACGTGAGAGGCGCACACATGTATGGGTGTCTCAGTGCTTGAACTGCCTTTGGATAAATTGTTTTATTTCTAATCTAACAAAAAAAATCCACTGTATATTAGTCAATGGTAATATTTTAAATATAAACTTACATCTTTATACTAAAAATGAAATGTGTCTATTCCTTTTAAAGACTGGTTGATTATATAGCTTAGGTAACACTGAATGTTAATGGTCTCAGTTCTCTAAGACACAGACAAATAGCAAGTTGTATTAAAAACCACTTGCTGCCTACAAGAAATGTCCCTCACTGACAAACAGTGGCCTAATATGGAAAAAAGATCAAAGTAAACCAACTCTGAAAGGAGGCAGAAGCTATCTATATACATAGCTGATAAAAAAAAGTTTAAAGACTCCAAAAACCTACATGTCATTTCAAGAAGAAATAACAATTATTAAGTTGTATCTACCAAACATTGGTGCATTCTAATTTAATTAAACAAACACTCCTGTTCCACAGACCCTAACACAGTGACACAGACTTCAATACACAGCTCTACCATAGGTAGGTCATTCATATATCCCTTCCCTGCCCAAAAATCAAAGAAACTTCAGAATTAACACTGTATACCAAATTGACTAAACATTTGGAGTATCTCAGCAGCAGCTCATGGAACTTCCTCCAAAATAGATCAGATTTTATGACATGAAGCAAGTCTTAACAAATATCAGAAAACCATATTCTATCAAACCACACAGGAATAAAGCTAGAAACCAACAACAATAGAAAATACAGGAAAGTTTCAAACATGTAAAGACTGAACAACACACTGTTGAGTGACCACTGGGTCATCAGAGAAATAAGGGGAGGAAATAAAAAGATGCCTAGGATCTATGGAAATGAAAACAACTTACCAAAGATGGTGCTAAGTGTTTCAGCTCTGAGTCCCTGTGTCAAAAAAAAGCTGAAAGATATTACCCTGTAAAAGCAATTCAAACTGGACCTAAGATCTAACACTTGGGAAGTACTATAGGGGAACACTGGAAATATAGGCATAGGCAATTATTTCCTGAATAGGACTCCCAACTATCTAGGAAATAAAAACAAGAATGGATGTGAGATTGCATCAATAAGTTCATTTACACTGAAGGAAAGTTGCCAGATCAAGAGACAATCTTTGCCATTTATTTAACAAAAGATTAACATCTAGACGATGTAATGAGCTCCAAAATCACACATCAACAGAAAAAGTTAACTGTAAGTGGATAAACAGGTTAATTATTTGAAAGTACAAATGGCTGATAAATACACCAAGAAATGTTCAACATCTTTTACTATAAAGGAAAGGCAGATCAAAAGTACATGGAGATTCCACCATACTAGTCAGAAGGGAAATAAGAAAACAAGAAATGCTAAGAAGGATGCTGAGAAAAAGGAACCCTCATTCACAGCTGGTGGGAATGTAAATTAGTGCATCCACCATGGAAATCAATATGGAGGTTTCTCAAATAAACTAAAAATACACCTGTCTTATGACCCTGCCAAACCACTTCTGGGCATACATCTAAAGGAATGTAAGTCAGCATACAATAAGGATACCTGGCTACTCACATTTTTCGTAGCACTGTTCACAACAGCCAAGCTGTGGGATCAGCCCAGGTACCAAATAACTGATAAACGGATAATGTGTTTATCTATACAATAGAGTATAATTCATCCATAGAAAAGAAAAAGAATGAAATGACATTATCTGCAAGAAAATGAATCTAGAGATCAAGTGAGATAAGCAAGCCAAAATCAAAAGCCACGTATGTATTTTTTTCTTATATATATATTCTAGATCCAAAATCATGGTGGTAATAGTAAAAAACTAGACTGGGGGACAGGAGCCCAGGAGTGGGAGGGAGGGGTGTTGGGGGTGAAGGTCAAAGTATATTACACACACATACACTCCTTGCATAATGAAATTCAACAAGTAGTGTTTGAAAGGGAGAGAGGAGTGGTGGAGAGCAGAAGAAATGGAGCAGGGGTGGACATGTTTGAGGTACATTGTACATATTACAGAACTGTCACAACCTAGCCCCCTTGTATGATTGAGGTATAATAATAAAAATACAGTAAGAAGGCTGACTGAAGCCAACACAGGGCTTCACACCACAGCCTGTGAGGACACCCAGACATTCCTGACCATGTTAGTTGTTAATGCTTCAACTAGGAAGAAAACACCCTGCAAGAGGCACACAGGGCCTGGTGGAAAGCCACGGGTTTTCCTTCCTCAGTACTCGACTAAGCCTACTAGGAAGAGTCCACAAATGAGTCTCTGCTGCCCAAGGCACTTAGCAGCACTGCTTGGAAGAAAACCTTGCATTGCAAATCAGCTGACATGTCTGTTAAGATGGAAAGGGAAAGAAAATCCGAATCATCATCAGTGTCGGTGGTCAGGGACAGTGTGGAGAGCAGCCCGCAGGGCAGCTTGTAGGGACTGTTTTCTCCGAGGCCCGCTCTGCCTCCCCAAGCACCAGGGATATGTTTGAAAACCAGGCCAGCAGACACGGGTCTGGTCCCGTCAGAGATAGGTCCCGGTGTGACCACAGATGCTCAGGGACACATACAAAAGTGGGAGCAAGCTGCGTGTGCCAGAGCCACCCTGCTTGGGGTATGAATTGGTATGAAGAGCTTCAGATGGACTTTAAATCAAACAGATTCTATGTAAAGCAGTAAAACATTTAAAATATATATTCTTTTAAACGCATATGAAAACTTAAACATTTAAACACCTGTATTATACACAAATATGATACCATAAACAGAAAAGCAAAAGCTCCAGCAGTCTCTGTCCTGTGGAGTTGCGTGGGATAGTGCTGTTTTTCTATGCTTTCCAAATTAAAAAAATTTTAAATAGTTTTCCAAGTTTTGCTTTTATAATTTAAAGGCTTTAAGAGCACACACATCAATATTCACAATGGTGAGCCAAGCAGTGGCTCACAGTAGAATCTGAGGACAGGACACAGTTGGAAGACAGCATGTTTATTTATCTGTTTAAGAACAGATTCAAAAGAAAAAAAACAAATACAATGTAAAAGACATACCATGAGGTAAACGTAAAGGACATGTATTTCTCCCCTGCTTAATCCTCGGAACTACACGAGCACATTAGCAGCTGTGGCGAAGCCTGCCGTTCCAGCAGCAGTGAGCTGTCAGTTTCCTGCGTCACCTAGCAGCATTCATCCTTGGGACAGAAGGGTCTGGTTGGGGACATCTGGTTCTGATTAGTGATCTTCGTGGCCTCCAGGTGCACGATGCCCAACCTGGCACTCAGGCCTGCAGCTGGCTGGAAAAGGGCTGAGTGGGAAAGCTCCAGGAGGGACCGGATCTGCAGCCTTGCCCTGTGCCTCTATTCTCCTCCTCAGGCTCGCCTGTCATCCTTTGTAGCTGAAGTGTCTCACATGGGAGAAGCTGCTGGAAGCAGTGTCCTCCTGATGCTGTTCAAGGTAAACCCAGCTGCGCTCCCTATTCTGCATCTTTACAGAGCTAAGCAAGTGTAAGTCTGTCTGTATGTCTGCACGTAAGGAAGGGGACCTTAAGCCTGCTCTGGGGGTCTTCAGGACAATAAAAGACCACACGTCCTCTCACAGTGCAGTCAGTTGAAATAATGAGCTACTTATTAGATCTTCTTAGGAAACAGAATATTAATACTATCTTTGAAGCACTAGTGATAGGACTTAGCTGAACTGTGTTATGGTCACACGGAGTGCAGGGCAAAGCTCCAGCCACGTGCCAGCAAAGGACACACACAGCAAGGACACGTCTGTGGAGAGTGAAGGCGAGCAGCACTCAAAGGTGTTGTCATTGGAAAAAGTGCTTCACACGTTACATTTTTACAGGCCAGACCAGCATCCATTCAACTAACTGAACCAGATCTCTGTTCCACAGAGCGTGAATGTTAACCGCTTACAAAACACATCATCTGGAACACTTTAAATACAAAACACACTTTGAACATGGCATGACATGTAGGGTCTCAGGAGTACATTTATAATACAGTAATAACAAATTAACAGGTTCGTAGTACTACAGTTACCTACTTTATACACACCATACAAATTTATGTCCAACAGTGACATATTTTAAAAAAAGGAAGAATGCACAGCCAGTGTTAACTATTATTAGTGTCATTCTTTCAGTTGTTCTCGTAAGCTTAAACAGCAAATTTTTAAATTCTAATAGTGGTGAAAAAATTAAGTTACTTTCTAAACAGGGGTTTAAAACAACACTAAGTCTTTAAAGTACTTAAGTTGTTAGAAAATTCTGAGGACCAAAATACACCAAGTGCACAAACCATGAGGAGAGCATGTAGAGACCCCATAACTTACAAACCTGGAGCCACGGTGGTTACCCGCCATGTCCGAAACGGGCTTTCTGGCTCAAGGACAAGACACAGTTATGATTCTTTGAAGACTCTCAAAGTCCAAGGAGAAACACATTCATAACGTGTACTTTTGTGTTTTTGTTAAAAGTGAACCAGATTTTTAACGTAACAAAATCCATCTTTAAAGTCTCATAGCCGGCGACATCTTCCTCTTCAGCTGAAAGGATGAAGTACAATCGCCACCACTTTGTTACAGACCAAGATCCAACAGGTAATGCCGACGCCACCTGCAAAGAGAAAGCCAGCATAGAGAGAGCATGCCAACAGTCTTCTGGCCATTGCCCTTCACTCACAGGAAACAGGACCCCAGTTCTTTCTGAGCACAACTGAGCACAGTCTGTGCTTTGTTGGTTCAAATCTGGAGACTTTCACAGCTCACGGGACTGTACTGGTATCTGATGAGGGTTACACGGCACCGTGATCACTGCTTCAGATTTCCCTTTGAGGTCAGTGTTTGACAGAACTAGGTTGTAAGCACACGTGTGGGAGTGTTTAGTCTGCAATCTCAAAGGAACAGCGCAAACAAGCAATGTATGCCCAGCCTACGGGAGATAGAGAATCCAGCTCCAGTCCCAGGCTATGGGAGGCAACGAGGTCTGCGGCATGCAGAGTGGTCTGCTGTGTCTCTGGTCAGCACAGAGGTCCAGGCCTGAGCCCAGGGGTGCAGAGGAAGGTGGAACAAAGCACAGCTGAACTAGGATTCTGAGAGAACCATTCCTCTTGGGACAGCAATCCATCGCCACCATAACTGCAAACTATAACCAAAGACTACCAAGGAAAGTAGGTGCCAGCCAGGCTCCAATGGCTCACGCCTGTCATCCCAGCTACCCAGGAGGCTGAGATCTGAGGATCACAGTTCAAAGCCAGCCTGGGCAGGAAAGTCTGTGAGACACTTATCTCCAATAAACCACCAGAAAACTGAAAGTAGCGCTGTGGCTGAAGTGGTAGAACGCTGGCCTTGAGCTCAAGAGCTGAGGGACAGCACCCAGGCCCAGAGTTCAAGCCCCAGGACCGACAAAAATAAAAAATAAAAAAAAGTAGGTGCTGTGCATTACCTTCAATAGCAAAACCCTGGACCTAAATAAACATGCTTTTAACAAGAAAACCCAAATGAAGACAAGCTAGGGAAGTATTTATCCAAATCCTCCCCCCACTCCCTTTAAAGGCTGGGGTCCCGCGGCGTCCTGTGGGATTACTAGTAGGGCATGTCTTCCTGGGGACAAGGCGCTCCCGAGGGAGCACACTGGCAAGCTCACGCCAGCTCTTCCCACCACCTAGGACGCCACAGAGGAGCCACCCAGGAACCGCGAGATGCCCTCCAAACGGAGGTCTGCCAGCAACCTGGCTTTGGACTCCCCCAGTCCCCAGGAGATCAAGTTCTGTGAGAAACACCTGGTTGATAAGCTACACAGCTTAGAGCATTTTGTTAGGCAGTCTGAACTAACACATAAGGGATGACTTCCATTATATAGTAAGAAGTGGATATAACGAAGAAGAGCCAGCCGCGCACGTGCTAGTGGCTCACACCTTCATCCTAGCTACTCAGGAGGCTGAGAGCTGAGGTTCGAAGTTCAAAGTCAGACCAAGCAGGAAAGACCATGAGTGTCTTATCTCCAGTAAACCACTAGAAAACTAGAAGTGGCGCTGTGGCTCAAGCGGTAGAGCACTTGCCTTGAGCTGAAGAGCACAGCACAGGGACAGCGCCCAGGCCCCGAGTTCAAGGCCCACAACCAACCAAAAAAAAAAAAGAAGAAGAAGATGATGAGCCAGATGAGCCAGATGGCCTTACCTACTTCACTAGTCATCGGAAGGAATGTGCCACCATCGGAGCGGCTCTCCACACCCAGCGGGCTTGTGAAACACTGCCCTCGTTGTCCACAAAGCACTTTCAAATTCAGAAGGGTGACCACTCAGCAGCACCAGGCCCACGCGCGGAGGTGCCGCGGATGGCCACCGCGAGGACTGGACACACAGTGGGGAGCCAGGGCGGGGTTCCAGATCCAACGCCCACCCGGGACTGCAGCCCAGCCTCACACTCTGAACTTGAAAAGGTCTAGCAGCTTCTCTAGACCGCGTGCAGGGCCCAGGTGCAGAGAGCAGAGGTCGCTAAGTGCATGCAGAGGATGAGGCCAGGCAGCCGAGACGCCCACCACGCGCCTCTACACAAGCCTGTTCGCGGTCTTCCATTGTGTTTGCCGGGAAAATCCTTACCTGCTACCCTCGTAGGAAAGGCTACCAGGCGGTCTAGTGGGGTGATCCATTTACTTGGTACCACAGCCACGGGGACAGAGTAATACTTCCAAATGAGCGAAATCATCAAGGCAGCCTAGAGAGACACTTTGGGTGAGTGAAAAACCTCCTGTGAGCCGCACGCACAATTACCACAGAAAAAGCACATGAGCAAACACCACAGTCAGATTTCAAAAAGCACCAGTCCCTACAGCCACAGCCACACACATACATACACACACACCACCACCACCACCACCACCCACTTCCGGGCTGGAATGCAGAGCACTTACTTGCAGCACGTAGAAAGCGACGCTCATGGCCCACTTGATCTTGGCTGACTGGGCTGCCCGCGCTTTCACTGAGAGGAGAAATGGGACAGAGTTGTGTGTCAGTCCTGGAAACTGGGGGCGTATGTAACACACTGAACACGCCTTTCCTCACCAAACACCTAAACAGAACAATCACTCCAGATTTAGAAAGCACAAAATAGAATGTGTAAGTAGTAACTCGTTATCTTACGACGCCACCATTTAAAACAGAATCTCCCTCAGACGGTGAGATCTGAGTGGCTCTCATTTGAAGTCCCTCCAGCCTTCACCTGCACCAGCGATTCTCTTGGTACCGCATGGACCGTGGGTTCATGGCTAAGTTCTCTCCCTGATTTCCTGAGCTACAGTTCGTGCGGCTCCACAAGGGCTCCCCCCGCTTGTCTGTCCTGGGCCGGGGCAGGCCCCTGCCTTCTCCCCAAGATGATAGCACTCTCAATACAGGAAGTAGAAACGTGTTTTGGGCAGTGTGCAAAGTGGGGAGAGGCGTGGGACTGGAGGAAGGGTGGGCAGACGCAGTCGTTACATTCATTGTGTGCTGTGCAAACATAACTGTGCAAACATCACTGGAGAGGAGGGAGAGAACAAAGGAAGAGGGGACACTGCCAAGAAGCACTGTGCCTATCACCTGACTCACGAAACTGCAACCCCTTTGAACAACTCCTTATAATCCATTTTACCAGACGGCACGCTCCCTGCACACACGCGGCACCCTGCCACGCTGCACACGCGCCACTGCGCAGGACAGTGACCTAAGAGGTGAGGACACGCACTGTCCAGACAGTGAGAGGACAGAGCCAGGCCCCACGGTGACATCTCTGTGGGCGTCCCTCAGAAAATGAGTTGGAAAATGTTCCCTGCAGGGACAGATGGCTCCGATGGCGGCCTAACAGGGTCCCTCGCTGCCCGTGTCCACACAGCCAGCCCTCCTGGCGGCCAGGAGAAAGGATTGGGGTGCCAGGGCATCTTCCAGACCTCTCGAAAGCGCCTACCAACATTCAGAAGCTCTGAGGAGGAAGTCTACCACCAACACTCCTCCACTGACCACATCTATGGTGTGGCCCTCTCTAGCGTGGCCGGAGCGCAGTACCGTGGGTTTTGAGCTTATCGGTCATCTTGTTGATCTTTCTCTCCAGCCTGGCGTATCTAGCGAACTCGTCCATCATGTTGACCGTGGCGAGCTCCTGCTTCATGTCCTGGATCTCGGCCCGCATCTGCGACTCCTGCCCCGCGTCCTGCTGCAGCACCCTAGACACCTGGCGGGGAAGGCAGTGGCTCAGGCCTCCCGCGTGGGAAGCAGGGCCCCGCTCTCTTTCTGGGTCTGAGGAACACCGTGTGTCCTGACCAGGCCTGAGTGCAAGACGGGGCTCTGACACCAACCACAGGTCCTTGGAAGGCTTAGCTCACGCTGGGCACGCTGAGATCAGGTCAGGCCTGACGTCACACACGCCGGCACAATCCCCGCCAGCCCAAGTCCTTGCTCCCCACCACACACCCCGGAACTCATTTCAGGTTTTGTGCCAGTAACAGAGCGAGTTTTGAATTCAGGGCCTTAGGTTCTCACTGAGCTTTTTAATTTTTACACAAGGTTGGTACTCTACCAATTGAGCCATAGATCCACTTTGAGCTTTTTGTTAGTTAATTGGTGGTAAGAGCCTGCATATTTGTCTGCAGGCTGGCTTTGAACCGTGACCCCTGGATCTCAGCCTCCTGCGTAGCTGGGATTGCAGGAATGACCATGGGTGCGCGGCTCCCACAGGGAGTGTGGCCACTGGTGGAGGACGTGCCAGGTAAGCACGGCCGACCTGGCTGCGTGCGCAGGGCTGCGGCCGCCCTCACAAGCTAGTCCTCTGAGAAGCTTCCCTCCTTTGCACCCCACCCAGCCCGCCCCCAGAGGGCTTGGGCTGGTCCCTAGAGGGAGCCGCTGCCAGTGCTCAGCTGGAAAGAGCAGGGTGCCCTCCCAACATGCGTCACGCGGCTGCTGACCTACAGAGCCAGGCTCTGGGGCCTCTGCCTGCGCCCTACAATGACCACAGAGAAAAACCGCAGTCCCCTCCTATTCCAACTGCTGGAACCCTTTGCAGATTGCTCTAGGAAAAGGGATGTACCTTTCACAGCAACAGGACGATTGGGATCATAAAATGAACGCCAGTCCCATTACCAGAGCCAGAAACAGGGAACATTGTTCCTGAAGCCAAGGAAGGAACAGAGCCAAGGGCTCCAGTGGTGGCCCAGTGGAAAGGGCCTTCCGACAAAGAGGCACCCGGCAGGGGAGGGCAGGCCAGGCTCTGTGATACATGGTCTGCAAGACTGCGTGGCCAGGGCTGGGAAGGTGGCTCAGTGGTAGAGTGCTTGCCTGGCATGCATGAGGCCCTGGGTTCCATTCCTGAGCACCACATAAGCAGAAAGAGCCACAAGTGGCACTGTGGTTCAAATGGTAGAGCACTTGCCTTGAGCTGAAGAGCTGAGGGACAGCACCCAGGCCCACAGTTCAATCCCCATGACCAACAAAAAAAAAAAGGCCACCCAGGCCAGAATCTGAACAAATGTCCAAGTCAGGGCAAACATGGTCTGAGAGCCATGTGAAGCGGAATAGGCACCCACAGAGCGTGAGGATGGAGGGAGGCGAGATTAACTGCGTGAGGAGGGAGGGATGAGAGACTGGTGCAAAGGACTGAGCATATAACAATGCTGACGCTTGGGCTGAGAAGGTGGCTCAGTGGTAGAGCGCTTGCCTCGCGTGCATGAGGCCCTGGGTTCAATTCCTCAGCACCACATAAGCAAAAAGGAAAAAGCCAGACGTGGCGCTGTGGCTCAAGTGGTAGAGCGCTAGCCTTGAGCTGAAGAGCTGAGGGACAAAGCCCAGACCCAGAGTTCAGGCCCCACGACCAGACCCAAAACAAACAAACAATGCTGACGCTAATGGGAGCCAGGGAAGACAGGCAGAAATCTGCAATGGAAGGGGCTGGAACGAACCTGTATTCCAGAGGTAAATGAGTGCTTCCTACACACGGAAAGGAGAATAAAGATGGCATGTTTGTGAAGGGGGCCTTCCACGCAAGCCCAGGGGTCCCTGCTGGTGGATGCTGCCCGCCCAAGTGTGCCCTGGTGACCTCCTCCCCTCCCCTCTCTGTTGGCTTCACACTAATAGCCAACACTCAGGGGATGAGGACGATGGCCGCCAGGTGGCGCCCACCGACTGTTAGAGACAAGCCTCTGTCCCTGGACGGAGAATGGGGCCTCCAGTGACCTGCCCCAAGTAATCAGGGAATACCCTGAAATGGGAGCTCCCACCAGGGGCTGAGATGCACAAGATCCAACATGGCCCCCGAGATCCAGTCCAAATCAAACACACGCACCAGAGACAACAGGAGTATGCCAAGTACTCACAGCACACAATCGATGGCCTGGGGTCTCAGAACAAGTGAAAGCCTGGACAGCACTTCAAGAGCAATGAGAGCCACCATACTCCATAGCCACTGCTGACAAAGCTTGTCCATCCACCAAAGCATGGGCAACAGAGGCTGCCCTACTGCCAGATGTCTCAGGGAGTGTTTTTTTGTGCTGTATGCATACTGTAAACAGGTTGTTAAAAAGACGAAATGGTAGTGGATTTGCCACAGACCAAGTACACACGGGACCTTTCTGCCTGCCAAACCACAGAACATCTGCAGTCAGAGCCAGAGCAACAGCCAAGCCCCAGGCTGAGTCGCGCACCAAGGCCCCACTGCACCTGCACCATGGGGCCTGAGCAAACACGACATGGGCCACAGGCCTTGTGCGGGGAGCAGGGGTCTGCACACCCTCTGCGTGTGCCCCTGCCCCGCCCGCCTCTACCACCACTCTCACCAGAAGAGAGATTCATCTTTTTCTTTGAGTTGCAGTGAGATGATGGGGGTACTATGGCCTGTCTTGAGGAAGAGGGGAAGAGAAATTCTACTTTCTAGAACCTGCCTGGAGGACTAAAAGGACTAAGTCATAGAAAAACAGAAAATCAATCAAGCCTCCCGAGGCCTAAAGGGACCCAACACGGTGACGAAACTGTCATCTTTATTGTTGTGAAGCCACCAGAAAATGACAAAAGCTAAGGGGATTAGGAGCCAGGAGCTGCAGCAGAGCATCGACGAACCAAGCGTCACCACGGCCAGAGCACATGAAAAGAAAACAACATCACCGGTGATTAGGAAAATGCCCATCAAAACCACAATGAGGGGCTGGGAAGGTGGCTCAGTGGTAGAGCGCTTGCCTTGCATGCAGGAGGCCCTGGATTCGATTCCTCAGCACCACATAAGCAGAAAAAGCCAGAAGTGGCGCTGTGGTTCAAGTGGTAGAGCGCTCGCCTTGAGCTGAAGAGCTGAGGGCCAGCGCCCAGGCCCAGAGTTCAAGCCCTACGACTGACAAAAATAAAATAAACTGGAATGCGGGTTCCAGGGCTGGGAGAGGCAGGGCGGGGCCGTGCGCTGGGTACGGGGCACAGGATCAGTCAGGGAAGATGCACAGCTCTGCCGTTACCCGAACGCCTCAAGACCTAAGGCGATCACTGCTTCGTCCAAAGACGAGAAGGATGCGCGGAGGGCAGCGGTTCAAGTGTTCTATCAAGGCAACGGGCTGGGCCTCCTCTGCCAGACCCGGCGAGGGGGGCACCGGGATGAAAGGAGACGCCCCGCCAGAGGGGCAGGGCCCTGGGACGGCCCTGCGCACCCCGCCGGGCAGGGGCTGCGGGGGAGCCCGGCCGGCAGGACAAATCCGGACACCGCCCGATCTCCGGTTAATCATCGGGGGGGGGGGGCACCAGAGTGAGAGCAGGCCCCGAGTTCAAGCCCCACACCCCCGGCACGCACGCACGCACGCTCACTCCCAGCACGCACACCTAAAATCACGCCACCGTCTGACCCGGCGCCTGCGCAGGTGAGCCGGGCCTCCGGCCGCCGTCCCCAGACCCTGCCCACCCCCCGCCCCGAGTCCACGCCGGTCCCACCCGGCCCGCGCCGGGCCTGGGACGCCCGGCCGCCACTCACGAAGGCGGAGAAGGACGGGAGGAGGATCCGCAGGACGTTGCACCCGAACACGAAGCCCAGCACCAGCAGCCACGCCCCGCGGTCGGCCTCGCCGGCGCCCATCCCGACCGGGCCCCGGCGCCCGCACCGCTACGGCGGCT